CAGCGTCTCTCTCCGTTAAACCTCCTTCCCGGCTCTGCTTGTTTCCATAGCGACCCCACAAGTGAAATTTTCCATCCCGGATGCCAAATGCCTGTGGATGAGGCACAGCCCTCCCAGGGTTACCAAATATAGACACAAAAAACCCCCCGAGCCAACACTCCCGGCCCCGGGGCAAGGAGGGAGCAGCCGTGGCCGCGAAGGAGCTGGGGGGCGAAAGAAGAGCATGGGGCTGAGCCCGGGATCACGGGAATGCTTGGCCGTGGGGGGATGGCTGGTCCGGCCCCGACGCTGATGCTGGGGTTCTGTCCCCATGGCCCTTACGCGGTCTGCATGAGCTCTGGGTTGGGCACGCACTGCAGGCGGTGGGAGAGGAGCTGGAAGGCGCTGCTCTGGGGCAGCAGCATCAGCAGGCCATAGAGAGCCTTGATCAGGTAGGGGTTGTTCTTCACATCCAACAGCTGCAGGCGGAGATCTGGAAAAGGAGAGGAAGAGGATGGGGAGGCAGGTAAAAAGCATTTTGCCTCCTCTGCATGAGCTCTGGGTTGGGCACGCACTGCAGGCGGTGGGAGAGGAGCTGGAAGGCGCTGCTCTGGGGCAGCAGCATCAGCAGGCCATAGAGAGCCTTGATCAGGTAGGGGTTGTTCTTCACATCCAACAGCTGCAGGCGGAGATCTGGAAAAGGAGAGGAAGAGGATGGGGAGGCAGGTAAAAAGCATTTTGCCTCCAGCCCCAATAGCAGGTTCCTCCCAATGCATCTGATGGTCCTGGGGAGGCTGTAAGCCTCTGCCAGCCGACCGGAGAGGCACCCGCATGGCATGAACAGCTTCTCCCCTTGCATTAACCCACCTTTGTGTCCCACACATGCCAGAAGCCCCTCTCCTCACCACAGCCCCCAGCTGCCAGCTACAGAAGGGGGCAGAAGGGTCCACAGTCTCCCATCCCTGCTGCCACTCATCCCCGAGCCCGTCCATGCTTTCTGCCTGAGGACACGTGTGCAACATGAGATTGCTCCTCAGCTTCTGCAGAATTAGCAGAAATAACCCCCTGGGGCATCACACATCAGGAGAGCTGGGTGATACCTTCCTTGGGGACTCTCTGGAGGAGAAGGGATCCTCTTTGCTTGGCCCTGATGGTTATGTGTGCTGGGCCATGGCGTTGCTCAGCAGAGGGGAAACCACCTTCTTGCTCCATCCCTTGTGGTGCTCAGGGGTAGAAGGGCCTTCTGGAGCCCTACAGAAAACCGAGGTCCCATCTGGGGCAGCCCAGGGAGTATGGGGTGAGAGGTCCCCGCCCCAGCATCTCACCTGGTTGCCACTAGCACCTCTGATGTCTCCCTGCAAAGGGACCCAAGCCTAGGGATGCTGCTCTATGGGGGGCACGTCTGTCCCTCACCCCAAGACTTGGAGATTAAGGTGAGTGGGATGGGGAACCCTCAAGGAATCCTTCCCACCTCGCATGGTGGGAAGAAGGCCATCCTAGGCATGAAGCACAGGGCACCATGGGAGGAAGCGTGACTGAGGGCCAGCCCACAACTCCATTGCCTGGCTGCTCTAACCCTCTTCCCTTAAATATTCCCCCAAATATTCCTCCAAATATTCCCCCAAATAGCCCTGGACCTATACAGTCCCCTCCCAAAGTCCTTTCTGGGGCATTTCCCAATGTCCCTAATGCCCAGTTCCACCTCCAGGGAGAAGGAGCCCAGGGGCAGCCGAACACCACCACAAGAACCGCTGCTGTGGTCACAGGTCCCCCTGCCACGTCCTCCTCTCCCCATTCCGGCTCCCACTGCCACGTCCCCAAGCCCCTGACCAGGCCCTGGCTGTGTTACCAAATGGGGGGGACACATTCCTGGGGCTGGGGGGCCAGATCTGGAAAGAGAAGCAGCTCTGGTTTTTTTAGGGCTTATTCTCCTTTTCCAGAAAAAAACCCACCTTTTTTCTTGTGCTCAGGGCCCCAGCAGTGCCTGCGATGCCACCCACACCTCCAAGGGTGGCACATGCGGCTCCCCGCAGCCGACACCCTACCCGTGCCCCCCCACCCCCACCCCGGAGATGATCAGCGTGGCCCAGGTCCCCCTCTCCTTCCCCCATCCTTTTGTTTGGTGCCAGCTCCGCTCACTCCCTTAACCTATATCTGGGGGGTGAGTGGCTCCCCCCCTGCC